AGCTTCATTTAAGATGAGTTGATTTTGTGCAAGTATAAATATAATTGGCAATTTGCTTCGCTCTTAAAAACATTTTCCTGTGTTACCACTTATTTTAAGTTAGTAGTGCATATTGATGCTGTAAATTAATTAACTCATTTATTTTTCCTGATAATTGAAATATTCTAAATTAAATTCACTACAGTAGACCTTAATGTTTCATAATCTGTGAATTATAAAACCCTATGAATACAGTCAAAATAGTGAAATGATATTCTGCTGATTTAAAATAGTTTTGAAGTAATTTTCACAAAATATTCTGAAGTTGACTATCTAAAACTATCCAATGTAGACAGTGGAATTTACAGTTGTGACAAAGGGATTGATTTAATGTTAACTGGTGTGCAAATAATGTTGTAACAAGCAATTTGATTGGCTGTTTACAGGTTTGCAAGTATAGTTGTAAAAAGCAGTTTGATTGGTTGTTTACAGGTTTGCAAGTATAGTTGTATCAAGCAACTTGATTGGCTGTTTACAGGTTTGCAAATAATGTTGTAACAAGGAATTTGATTGGACATTTACAGGTTTGCAAGTCAAAGCATTGCTATTGTTGTGGGAATGAATGATAGACAAACTAAAGAACTCAATACAAAGATCTTCAAAGATGAAGAAATCAGAAAATATACGCTGAGGTAGGACACAAAGTTTTTGATTTATAGGAAGTATATGTTAAATGTGTATTGCAGTTTGTGTCAGTGAGACAATGTATGCATTAAGGAAAATTTAAAAGCACAGCACAGTTTTTGTTATTTTGTAAAGCTAAAAAAACTTCATCAGTATAGTGCCCAACTCTGTTTCTGTGGAAAGAAGGACTTTGTGATCCCCCTATAGCATTGAGCTGTGGTGGTTGATTTAAATTTAAATTTTTCAAAATAGTTTGTCCCGCATTTCTAGTCACAGTGAATAACTTGTTGAGCAAAATTTTTGCAATCCCCGTCATATTTGTTTCATCTACTCGTAATGTATTTTTCAGATGAATAAATGACATCCATCTTTCATAAATATAATCATAAATATAGGTTATAGATTGCACTTCTCATTTCAGATGTAAAGAAATGACTGATTACAGCATGCATGATGCATTATTACTCACTAATCCGAGACAGAATGCGGAATTGAACAATAGTGAAATATTAACTCATACACAGGGTAGTATTGTTAGTAGTGATCTTGTGAATACTATTACCGCTGTATGTGGGGTTCTCCTGCCTCTCAACACTACATCACAAACCACAGTAAGTAATAAGAGTACTGTAAAATACTTTATTTTAGCTGGAATTTACACAGAAAGGACTTTTTGGGTATTTTGTATAGAATTTATTTTCACTGATTTTTGATGAGTTGAATGTAAAATATAGGAAAAAAGGTATTTTTTCGCTGCATTTTATTTTCACTGAATCATTCCTTAGCGAAATAGCGAAAATCAATTCCAAACGAAAATACAGTATTTTACAGTATGTAAGAATTCGTGTGTACCATATTTCTAGTAAATGATAAAAACATTTTTGAAAGATTTGTTTAAATATTCTCAACCATTGTCCAGACCACACAATGTTTGTATTGGTTTTGTTTGAAAGTATGCCCTGTATGTTTCCATTCTACCAGAAACTTTCATAAGTATACATGTGTGCAAGGAGAAATTACCTGTACAAGCAAGGTAATTAAAAATGAAAATAACATTGCATAAATTTTCCTTCTGAACTATAAAACGAAAATAATTTTTAATTTCTTGCTTGCATTCTTTGGAAAACAAAATGAGAAATTCTGATTCATAATAATTTTTGCACTCCCTTGGAAGAGCTAGGATGAGTGACCCCTTGGGGTCATTCATATTTGAGTAATTAATAACTATGTTTAAAAGTGTAACCAAATAACCTCATTATGTTGTATTTCATTTCCAGGAAACTCCATCTCATCTTGTACCAGTGTCATCTATGTTAAGAAACCTGCACTGTTTGTCATTGGCCATTGCTAACAACCAACCAGTGTTATTAGAAGGACCTGTAGGATGTGGTAAGACTGCATTAGTTGAATTCATGGCAGCGGTCACTGGAAGACAGAAGTCTCCATATTTATTGAAAGTACAGCTTGGTGATCAGACAGATAGTAAGGTATTCAATAATTTAATTTGTCCCTTTACACTGGTAAGATGCAACCAGTAATGGTCTTGTTGCATGCTGCTTAAATGCGACTAGTAGTCTGGTTGCTAGGTTTGTTTTTTTACTTTTGAGCCATTCTTTTGATCGTTTCTCCTATTTCTTAAAATTGATCTTTTTTCTATTTCATTAGTTATGTTTGTACTAATATTCGGTTCTCAGTATATAGTGTTCATAGTTTATGTTCATGTAGTATGTGGTACTCATAGTTGTCATCTTGGTTCATATCTCCAGGCGCTCCTTGGAACTTATCGGTGTACTGATGTTCCTGGCGAGTTTGTATGGCAGCCTGGGGCACTAACACAGGTAAGATATGATGATACGCCCTCCTCAAAGACACATAGGTGTTGGTTCGGTTCATACAAACGACCTCAAATGTGAAGATTTTATTTTTTTGGTTTATTATTTTTTTCTTGAAAAGAAGCCAATAAAATAAAATTCTTGATCTGCCTCTGACAGGTACATTAAATATTAATGATGCGTTTTTAAATGCAATGATAATATTTTCTGTTTGGTCCATGTGCAGGCTGTTACGCATGGATATTGGATTTTACTTGAAGACATTGACTATGCACCTATGGATGTGGTATCTGTGTTAGTACCGCTATTAGAATCCAACACATTGTCCGTACCAGGCCATGGTGATACAGTGAAAGCCGCTCCTGGATTTCAACTCTTTGCTACCCAGAGGTATAATAACAGTCTTAATATCGAATATCGACCAACACGCAGCAGAGGTTGATGC